TTTTTTCAGCCGTTTTTTTCAGCCTTATTTCAGCTGCAGAGACTAAGTCCCGATGGGACTTAGTCGTTTTTTCAGCCTGAAATAGACCGACCTCACAGCCCAAATCTATGGAACTGTTTTGGGCAGGAAAATGTGCTTGCGGTCGGTCATAAAGGGACCTCCAGCTAACTTTTTAACCCCTGGATGGATTTGGCTGATTTTTGGTTATGTTTATGTTTTAAGTGTGCTGATTCCAAATATGTAATTATGAAGATGGGATGTGTAGTTTTAAAGTTACAGGGTATGGCTAAAAACTGTATTTTTACTGCCTGTGTTTAATTATGTTAATCTCTTCCCAAACGTCATTTCGTTCAAAGTGGAGAGAATGTTAAAAAATATATTTTTGTTCGGAGTGTGAGAAATGCTTTTCAGCCGCTTCTAATCTTAAGCATCATTTGAGGAGCCATACAGGAGAGAAACCTTATTAGTGGTGTGTTTAGTATTGTTCTGATCAGTTTAATACCTTCAGCGTCTCCTATCAGTGGACGTGTATATGGCAGCCATTTTAGGAACCGTACACCTGGGACCCGAGAAAGGTCACCTCGTTCAACAGGCTTGCAGCATATCCTCCAGGAAGAAGAGCCTGAACCCTTACCAGCTGCACGTGTCTTACCTGTACATGGAAAGCTGCTGTGGTTCCTTGATGAGCCAGCTGCCCGTGAGTTAACATGTCCGTGGAGAAGCACTCTGTCCTGTAAAGCCTCACCAAAAAAAAGGAGTGGTGTGTTTAGTATTGTTCTGATCAGTTTAATACCTTCCGCGTCTCCTATCAGTGGACGTGTACACGGCATTGATTTTTATCTAAGCCGTAAACTTTTGCACAGCGAAGTATATTCACTGCCATTGAAAAGGAGTGCATGGCGGTGGTGTGGGCCCTCAAAAAGCTGCAACCTACTTGTATGGACAACCGTTTACCTTACTCACAGATCACATTAAATTTGGGGCACTGCGCGGTCAAGCTAATGTGACACCAGATAGTAGTGGTGTGTTTGGTACTATTTTTATCAGTTTAATACCTTCCGCGTCTCCTATCAGTGGACGTGTACACGGCATTGATTTTTGTAACAGGGAGATGGAAGAAGAGGCTTGGTCGGTCCTCTTACTGCAAATTTGGGGCACTGCGCGGTCAAGCTAATGTGACACCAGATAGGAGTGGTGTGTTTAGTATTGTTCTGATCAGTTTAATACCTTCCACGTCTCCTATCAGTGGTCGTGTACACGGCATTGATTTTTGTAACAGGGAGATGGAAGAAGAGGCTTGGTCGGTCCTCTTACTGCAAATTTGGGGCACTGCTCGGTCAAGCTAATGTGACACCAGATAGGAGTGGTGTGTTTAGTACTATTTTTATCAGTTTAATACCTTCCGCGTCTCCTATCAGTGGACATGTACACAGCATTGATTTTTGTAACAGGGAGATGGAAGAAGAGGCTTGGTCGGTCCTCTTACTGCAAATTTGGGGCACTGCGCGGTCAAGCTAATGTGCCACCAGATAGGAGTGGTGTGTTTAGTACTATTGTTATCAGTTTTAATACCTTCGTCTCCTATCAGTGGGCGTGTACCACGGCGTGATTTTGTAACAGAGATGGAAGAAGAAGAAGTGAGTCAGTCCCTCTTACTGCAAATTTAGGGCACTAAGCGGTCAGCTAATGTGACACCAGATAGGAGTGGTGTGTTTAGTACTATTTTTATCAGTTTAATACCTTCCGCGTCTCCTATCAGTGGACGTGTACACGGCATTGATTTTTGTAACAGGGAGATGGAAGAAGGGGCTTGGTCGGGTCCTCTTACTGCAAATTTGGGGCACTGCGCGGTCAAGCTAATGTGACACCAGATAGGAGTGGTGTGTTTAGTATTGATCTGATCAGTTTAATACCTTCCGCGTCTCCTATCAGTGGTCGTGTACACGGCATTGATTTTTGTAACAGGGAGATGGAAGAAGAGACTTGGTCGGTCCTCTTACTGCAAATTTGGGCACTACAGCGGTCAAGCTAATGTGACACCAGATAGGAGTGGTGTGTTTAGTACTATTTTTATCAGTTGTACCTTCCCACGTCTCCTATCAGTGGACGTGTACACGGCATTGATTTTTGTAACAGGGAGATGGAAGAAGAGGCTTGGTCGGTCCTCTTACTGCAAATTTGGGGCACTGCGCGGTCAAGCTAATGTGACACCAGATAGGAGTGGTGTGTTAGTACTATTTTTATCAGTTTAATACCTTCCGCGTCTCCTATCAGTGGACGTGTACACGGCATTGATTTTTGTAACAGGGAGATGGAAGAAGAGGCTTGGTCGGTCCTCTTACTGCAATTTGGGGCACTGCGCGGTCAAGCTAATGTGACACCAGATAGGAGTGGTGTGTTTAGTACTATTTTTATCAGTTTAATACCTTCCGCGTCTCCTATCAGTGGACGGGTACACGGCGTTGATTTTTGTAACAGGGAG